TTTTTTTTTTTTTTTTTTTGTTTGTTTGCTTGTTTATTTGTTTTTTGTTTTTTGCAAACTTCGAAAAAAGATTGTCTTTTACCTGTTGTTTAGGAAATTCAAAAAAAAGTTTAGAGTGCCGTGCAAAGTTTTAGGGTTTTGCCCTTTTGAAGTTTAAGACACGTATGGTTCCTTAATAGAATATTGAAGGCTATTCAGCGGTTTTGAGCAGTTTCTGTGCGCACGCACATGGGCTCAAATTGAACGTTCAAATAGTAGTCAGTCACCTTCAATCGGTCACCTTAAGAACGAGACATACCTATTGTTTGTATTATCATGAATRTGGATAGACAGTTTGTTTGGTCATTTTTTATAGCTACATACCTGTCTATAGCCAGCACTACCATGGTATATATAGATGTGGACAGTGTTACCGTGTTTATAAAGGGGACGATCTTGCAGAGGAGCTCCCCAAACACCCAATAGGAAGGGATAATTTCTATGTTCATTACCCCTGGAACGGTCACCATTATGAACAATATGTCAGCCAGGGCTAAGTTCAGTAGAAACACATTGGTTACTGTACGCATGCGCGGGTTCTTGATGATGACGAAACACACCAATATGTTGCCTGTCAATCATAAGTTACCGTAAATTATTGAGCTTTATTTATTTATTAGTAAACCACCCAGGCACAGCCCTTTTGTCTTTTGTAACACAAAAACGTAAATCCAAATATTATAACAATAGAGTTGATGTTTGCGGAGCTAAATGTTTTTTTTGGGACCCTAGCCTAGCAAGGCTCATTTTAGCCCGAGGCATTGCGAGGGTTGAAATGAGGCTCTGCAATGGCCCACTGAAATAGATTATTTTTCTCGTTTCGAATTGGCTGAATGCAGCGAGCTAAAGTATATTTTCATTTTAGCATGTAAATTGCACCACAATGCCTTTTAGAAGTATTATAATTATTTTTAATTTATCAAACGAACAAGATAATAAGTCTACCATGCCAGATGATGCCAAATATTCAAATTGTACTTGAGTTCTCCTCTTATTTCGCATTTTATTATAAGCACTTGATATAAAAAGAAGAAAAATACATAGATAAACAACCGCTAGATACATTAGAAAGAGAGAGTGTTGTCTTTTAAAAAAGCTTTTTTAAAGATCTCTTAAAACACCTGCTATAAAACCTGACATTGACTATAAAACTATTTATCATTGAAACCGCCATTTTAATCATTTTTAGATATTTGAAAATATTTGAAAATTGCTTGATGACGACTGATCAGTTTTAGCATTATTATCGAATTCTATGCTAATTTATCAATTTTACTGTGGTTTTCATCTTTGGCATTGGTGTGTAATACAAGTATCACAAGTCCATTAACACCAAAATGTACATTAATATATAAATTTAGGCACTGCCTAAAAGCTTTCCATGGCCGTTATTTTTACGGTTTAAATTCCTGGTTAATTTTACTTGAAAAACAAAAGATAACTACAAATAATCCAATAAAATATCACGCGTTTTGTGAAATTTTCCTTGAATGTCTTTCATTAAAATCCAAATTTTGGAGATTTCTGAACTTTTTAAAGACAAATCGTCACCATAAGACAGACAACATAAGCTTACTTTTACGTCTTCTACACAATATGGTTACTCATTTCAAGAGTTGTATCTTTTTAAATGAACCGTATTTTTCACCGCAATGAAAATAGCAACAGGTAGCAACAGAGACAAAATTAGCTGGACATATAACTTTAACTCACTAAACTACCCAAATTTGCCCAGAACCTGAACGACAAAGCCAAATGTGTCAGTTTCAGTAAAAAATATTTCTTTTTGGTTTGTAAGTCACGTGATAGTCACAGAAGATTTACGGGTCATTTAGGATGTTTTGTCACGCAGTTTACTTGTGCTATATAACTTTACTTTTAAGAACAACCTTTTGCGTTGGAAAGAGAGGAAAAAGACCGAAAAGAGCAAATATTCCAAATGTATGGGTAATTTTTTCCAATGTCAATAAAATTCAATTTAAACCATATGATACAGTCCGTGAATAGTTGAATTAACTGAATCCACTTCTGTTTTTTGCCTAGATAGTCATTATTTTGTGAGAAAAGATCCAAAAACCGTGTTTTTGAGACATAATTTGTATGGGCTCACATGAGGGGGTGTGAGTTGAAATCGTAGCTGACCAAATGTTAACAGATTTTTTCTGATGTTGAGAAAACATCTTTGATTTTGCAATTTGTCGAACGAAACTGCTTTTCAYGAAAAATAGAATTATAAGCCGTTGATTAATTGTTTGCTAAAACAAATCCAATACCTGAATTCCTGAAAAATACTTCTAGATACATCTTTGACTACGTACTTTTTTGTTGTTGTTGTTGGGCTTACATTTGTCCCAAAGCGATTTTTTTCTGTGCATTTGAGAGCCGGGTTTGCGAGTAGTTTTGCTTTGGCATCAAGCGGGATGTGCAAATTAATTCCAAATTGAACTTGAAACTGTGTGACTATTACACGTTGACTARCTTTTTTTATTTCACGGGTTAAATGCCTTCTCTCTAACATAAAGACGGAACACTAAAATATAGACCCACAGTCAGATTTTGTTGCCCTCAGCCATTTTTTAATGGATTATCTCGCATGTCTGTCAGGTTATTTCCTATAACAAGTACAACCATTAGAATACGATGTTTTTATAGATCTGAACTGCAGTGAAGAAGATTTATAAGTTATGACTTTACTTTATACCAGTAACTTCCGATGCCTTCAGGATCTACAGACAAGACGGCATCACATTATTATGAGCCTAATTCATGGTTCGAACCTACTAATGACATAAAGAAGACCGCCTCATTATCCATTGTTTTCAATGCCTACTGCTATTATTATTATAAAAGTATATACTTGTGGATGCGGAAATCGTAGCCAACACCTAAGCAGACTAAAACTTAAAAACTCCTAAAAATAAAGTGTACTTAAAATAATGCAGTAATTTAAAAAAAAAAGAGAAAAGAACAACGAATTGGAAATAGCTATGGACAATGTAAATTCCAGACTCACTACTAAAAATAATTCAACATACTGATAAATGAAACGCTAATAAATATAGCGCAAAATCTAAATTATACCAAAAAGTACCAAAGACCGACCGTTGTTACCAGGTCTAGAGATCTTAGAACTTCAAAGAACAGGATCTTGAGGGCATCTTCATACCGCGCAAGATACTTCGTTTGCACAAGCGCACTACAACCAGCTAGGATGTGTGAGACACTTTCTGGGCCTTTGCCGCATAATCGACACTTCTCGTCCCCACTGACAATGGTACCTGTCTTTCTGTGATAAAAAAGCAGGTTCCGGATAAGACTAGATGCAGTTGTAGCCCTTGTTCTTGCGCGTACTTCATGGCGTCCTTAATAAACGAGTGACGCCCTGACTGCGCCGCTTTCTTCTCGAAGCTTCTCACCGCTGCCATCGATGGGTCAGAATTTCAGTAGAGCTTCACAGCTGCTTTGATCTTAATGTTCTTGTATGATGATGATGATGATGATGATGATGATGGTGGTGGTGGTGGTGGTGGTGGTGGTGGTGGTGGTGGTGGTGATGATGATGATGATGATGATGATGGTGGTGGTGGTGGTGGTGGTGGTGGTGGTGGTGGTGGTGGTGGTGGTGGTGGTGGTGGTGGTTCATTGTATAAATATTAGTCTATATGCAGAAGTATTCGACATCATAATAGTCGAAATATAAAAATAAAAAGGCCATTTACAACAAAGCTTTTGATTTCTCGAATCATGAAGTGCCATGAATTTGCTCATTCTTCACTGTACCAGATGTTCTTGGTTAACGAGAAAACCGCGATTTATTATGCAATCCGTATTAATATTTGATTATAAAATAATGATTCGATTTTTGTTTGTTGTGTTTTTATAATCTCCACAGGAAAGGGTATTACGCCGACCAAAAGAAAATATTTACTTTGAAAGAGAAGTTTTGCTTACATAAGTTTATTACTCGTTCATGCTGTCATATCATCATCTCGCTGTTTTCATCTCAATGTTTTCATTAGTCTTTTTTATTTTCTTTTTTTTTTTTTTTTTTTTTTTTTTTTTTTTTTTTTTGCTTAATTGATATACCAATATATATATATATACCATAATTATATAGATATTAGTTATTTGTTAGACTTTTTTAAGGCTCCTATATCCAAAGACTCGAGGGCGTAACACTCAACTCAAAGCTCGATCCCCAAAGGTTTTGATTGGCGCAGTAGAAGAAAGCAATTCACCCAACTACAGATAGCTTATATATATATACATATATCAAACATACTACGGAATATAAAAGCATTCCTGATCACGAGTAATTCCTGACCATGAGCCGCAATTAATAATTTTTTAAGGGGTTTGATGAATACGTGATGTTTTGTAGCTTTTGTTTGCTTTTACTCGTTGCATTAATTATATGAATGTATTTCAGGCTTGGACACTTGGACAGCTTCAGACAATATTCCACAAATAGCATGCTTCATTTTATGTTCAAATTCCAAACGTTGATTTTAAAGTACTGTTTAAAAAAGGAAAGAATGAATTTGGATGATTGAAATCTGAAATCTGTATCGGAAAACTTTGATGCATACAAAATGAATATATATATATATATTAAACTATGAAAACAATGAAACAATGAATGTTTTCAACTTACCTACGAGGGCCAAAAGCGAAATGAAGCCATATATTATCGAATAGCAGGCTATTCTTTCCACAGAAGAGTATCTCAGTAGGGCTGGATTTTGTTCTGTATATCCTTGGCTTGGCAAAGAAGCGTTTGTTACATTAGTATAGTTACGGACAGTCATCGTACTTGTGGCACTAAGCTTGTGGAAATCGTGTAGCTCTAATGGGCACGCAGCTTTYGTGTATCAGGACCTCGTCTATTACGGAAATATACTTTGATTGATGAGATTACCGGCCAGACACAGCTCTTCTCATGTCCTAGGCTCGAAAAATAACAAAAATCGTGAAATTCCTTGGTTTCCAAACTACTTCTTCGACAACCGAGTCAAATCTGCAAAGGCGTTATAAGAAATATGTTTAAGAAAGGTGGTTGCGTTTACATTTCATAAAATAAAAATAAATAAGTACACTTCCCGCGACGAATGGAAGTGCCCAGCGGTTTCAGCTTTACACTAGATGATGTCACTACGGTTAAGATTGGCTTAGCAATGTTTATTCGCTGGTTTTCGTGATGCATGGATCACCAGTATAAAATAACTAGCTTGTAGAACCTGTAGCGACAATAGTACTTTAATTGTATATGTCAGAATCTCAATAACAAATGGATATCATATTATATTTATCTCATGCCTATGTTAATAAATACGTAATAAAAAACCCATCGTGCATTATCAATTTACCTTTTTAAGAAACATTACCTTTTCCTTGATTACTGTTTGTCTTCTTGTTCCACCGTCAATGCTCCTAATTTTTCTATTTGAATATTTCTCATATTTTTCTATTTTAGACATAAATTGGATTTGGGGAAAAACTCATTACGGGCTACTAGCATGGTTCTCATTAAAGGTTTCAATCAATAATTAATCTATCATGCATTGAGACATTTTAATTGCCCCCCAGGGCAATTTTTGCACTTAAACGCTGAAAAAATAGGCTGGTGTTTAGAAAAGCTAAAAATATAGACACCCCCTTTATCAATTATTCGCCGAAGGCGAAGTGAATATCGGGGAATATTTACCGAGACGCGAGTCTTCGAGCGGCGAGGTAAATATTCTCCGATATTCAGTTAGGCTGAGGCAAATAATTGTTTTAGTTTAAATACACATGTGATTCTTTCAAAAAACAAAAACAAAAAACCAAAAGATAAAAGACTATTTTCCGGTAACAGCAACAAAGCGGCTGGCCGCCATTTTGGATTATCCCTGGAGGTGATTATCATGTGATAGTGTGAGTTTCTCGACCAATCAGGGTGCGAGATTTTCAATAATCACTCGTGTATTTTCACTGATTTTGAATAAAATGATTTATCAACTTATTATTTATTTGTTATCTATTTATTTACGTATATGCTCATTTTTCCTTTTTATTATGACTTTTTTAAGTATGCGATATTTTCCTTCCTTGTCCAACTCCAGGTCTCTCCTGGTATTCTATTTCAACTGTTTTTTGAATAGATATATAGGCCCTTTCGATGAGCTTCTGCTCTTGGGATGAATATGAATATTAAGATTTCTAACTTGCATTGTTTGAAGAGATAGTTAAGTCGTTTCATTTTTTTGTTTTGTTTGTTTGTTTGTTTTTTGTTTTTTTTTTTTTTTTTTTTTTTTTTTACTTTATTTTATCATTTCGTTTTTACATATTTTCAAAGATGTATCTCGTGTAGATTTTCAGTTCTGTATACGGTTTATATGAATTGTTTATAGTTTCCTGGCAATGAATAAAAGATGCCGTATTCGAGTATAAGTTTATTGTTACTAGATCTATGAATCACTGGGATCATGAGTGTTGTTTGGATTGTTCACATTGTTTTTGGCAACGAATAAACTATAATATGCCGTGTTTGAGTATACAGCGGATTGCGGTTAAGTGTTTAATGGAAAACAAATTGCACGTTTGTTTTGACTGTTTGAGCATAACATGTCATTGTTATGTTGAATTTCAACTATTGTTAAGAAGTGGAGACAATGTTTCACCTCTAATTATACACGTGTTCTCACGAGAAGTTCAAAGTTAACAAGGGCAGAATTAATATAAATTATCGCTTAACCAAATAGAGAACACCGTTCACGCGCCTGAAAAGGACAAGTTATTGCGCTCTTCGGCGGAAAAAAAAAATTATTTGACCGTAAGGTTGACGAAAACTTGGACTTATCGATACCCCCCACTTATTGTTTGCTTTACCAATTCGTGTAGTAGTTGTAAAAGTCTTTAATTTTATGCATTTACAAGGATAGAAAGATGTATCTAAAAAAGGTTTTCAAAATAAAACGATGTCGACTGTGAAAGTCATCTTCAGTATGATGTTAGTTTGAATATACAACAATTAAAGTAGTTCATGAAATCCCAGAGGGATAAAGGCTGGCGATAAAACATCGGTTAAGCTGGGCTGTCACGTGCAATCAAGAGTCCTTCAATTATTCTTCTTTTGACTAAGGATGTTTCTTTTTGAAGAATATTCCATGTGTATGAATGGTTTGGATGACTTGTTTTAGATACATTTTTTCAAACTTAGACTTATAACGAAACTCCCTTCCCTGAACTTCACGCGAGAACGCGCAAAACATCGTCTCTGCCCCTAAGCAACAATTGGCATTCAATCTAACAACGAGACGTTCAAACAATTAAAACAAACGTACAAAATGTTGCCATCTAACACTTAACCGCAATCCGCTGAAAGTTTATTCCAACTAGATCTATAAATCACTAGAATCATGAGTGTTGTTCGGACTGTTTATAGTTTCTTAGCAACGATTAATAAAACGATGCCGTATTCGAGTGATGAGTTTACTCTTACAACATCTATGAATCACTGGGATCATAAGTGTTGTTAGGATTGTTTATACTAAAATATTCTATTTGAGATATATTTAGTTCGCGTGACGGCAATAATTAATCACAATGCCAAGGTGAAATGTTTTTGTTTCAGCGCGCGTAATTTTAATGTGTTTGCACTTGCTTGCTTGCCGTGCTAAATCTAAAATTTAATTTTAACTTGATCCCACACCCCAAGGATGGGTGGCGGTTTTAACCCACTTGATAATACAGCCAATCCATCGAATTAGGATTTCAAATAAAGTCGTTTTTTGTATAGAAAAGTATAACCGAAGGACCCCGGAGAAAGCAAACCCGGGGGCCCAGGAGACACTATACCTTCTGCACTTCCCTATGATCTGGGTCGTGGGTCGTGGGTACCTTCCCTATGATCTATGGTCATGTCTTCTAATAGTAAGATAGGTTAAAGCTGTTTATTCGCTTTTTATTGAAATTTGAGGGAGATTAACACGTTTGATAATAACCCCATCTATAGTGCACTCAACAAAATTACTCGACTCTGATTGGTCGATAGGAGTACAATTATAGCGTTAATTGTACTCTGTAGGAATACCGAACTAAGTCGCTATGGAAACACGGCCAAAACAATGTCAAAACAATTATTTTCTATTATTTTGTACTTAAAAAACATAAATAAAATTTTAAAGCCGTAAGAGCTAATATAATCTTTTTTATGCATTTCAGTTGCGTGATGGACTGAAAATCGGCCGCTAAATAGACAAACATGAACGGCGTCGCTTCGCATTTTTTACTGAAATTTTGTTGAGTGAACTATAAACAAAAAATCGCACGATCTTCTCGTACAATTTGGAATTAATAGACACTCGTTATGTTTTGAAAGTTCTTTAATTGCACTCGCCTAAAGGCCCGTGCAATTACAAGAACTTTCAAAACATTACTCGTGTCTATTAATTTCCAAATTGTACTCGAGATCGTGCGATTTCCTATACTAATACCTCCTGCACTTACCTACGATCTATACTTATGTCTTTTAATAGTAAGATAGGTCAAAGCTGTTTATTCGCTTTTTATTGAAATTTTGAGGGAGATTAACACGTTTGATAACAACACCATTAATACCTTCTGCACTTCCTTAGCCGTTTATTCAATTACTATTCGCATCTTCTTCATGGAGATTAACACGTTTGATAACAACACCATCTGCTTTTCGTATATTAATATGTGAGAGCATCAAGAGTTTGAGTGTCAAGTCTAATAAAGATGTACTTCTTTATTTTAATTGCCTGTCTTTAGCGTTTTAGGAAACATACTTTTCTTTATTTTCCTATTAGTTTTTGTTCCAATAAGGTTCATATATTTTTTCGTGTTGTCGCTCACTCAGGCACTACCAATTCCTCCCTCTCTCATTCTCCTTTCCTGGAATTTTTTTTTTTTTTTTTTTTTTTTAAAATTACTTCTTCTTTTTTCCTTGCTTCGTGCGTGTGCCTTTTTGTTCATTCTTACTTTGTTCCCATTTTCTCTCTCCCTTTTCTTCTAAACAAGTGATTCATTTATTTAACATTAATTTAAAAAGCCATTGATACTTATTCCTTAAACGATTATATCATAAATTAAATTAATTTAAGGGTTGGTGTTTCAATGCTCGAGAAGATCAAGGGCAAATAGACACTGACAGATCAGATTTTGTTTATTCTGAGTTTTGCACTATTGTACATCAACTTTAGTAAAAATAGATTTAATTATATAGAGTATAATATTTTTTTAACAATGGTTGAGGGCTTTTCACAGGGGTAATGAAAACGGGATGGGGAGATTGCTACGAATGGCACGAGGAAGGGAGTGGTAAGAAGCACTGTCATCATGTCATGTCTTGTAGCTGCAAATATTATATGTAGAAACTAGGGGAGATATAATTAGTTTAGTTTAGTTTATTCGTCACTATTTACAACCTGAGGTACAATATGTTATCTAATAAATTAAGTGAACTAAACATAGTTATGTAGAGATATAAAAAAAAGAGGAGAAAAAAATAAAAAAAGAAGTAGGTTATTATGATAAAACGTGACAGGAGGAGGATACAGGACTTGCGTCCCAATTGACAACCTTCCCCTATTGTAGTAAAACTAAAAAATAAAAAATAAAAATATTTAGGAAGTACTTCTTATTTTGCATTATGAAAAAGAAAAAAACAAAAAAACAAAAAAACAAAACAAAAATAGTATGAAATAGCAAGAGTGAGAAATGACGGTTCCCGTACCAATCCAAATACATAGACTTTTGTCCCTGATATATGTACATGTATAATAGTAGTCAGTCAGATTGCTGTAGTGATCGACATATGTGCTTGTCTAATAGTGGTAAATATCTTTATGAAGGCACAAAATCTTTGTTTGGAAAACAGTTATTGATTGTATTTGTGTACTATCAGTTTGCCTTTGTATTTGTGGGTGGCTCCAGGGATTTGAAAAAGCGGGTCGGAAATTTCGCCGTTAGAGGAACCCTTCCGGTCTGGTAGTCTCCCTCTCAGCCCTTTTTAGTCTCGCTCCATTCCCCTACGGTCCACTTCCCACCCCTTCTATTCTGGACCAAACAAGTGTTTAAAAATGCATCCCCAACCCGCATCTCAATCGAAAATTATTATTATTATTATTAAATATTTATAAATACAATTTGTTGAAGTTGCCATTTCATTATTTTGTCCTATTATGTAGTCTGGTGCCATCGATACTGGCGATGATGTACTTTTTATTGAACCAATCATCAACGAGACTGCTGTCAAATCCAAGCATCAGGGAAAACCCCATTTGTTGTACACCAAGTCGTCTTTACAAAAGATCGACCAGGTGGCCTTTGACATGATGGGTGATAATTGGAAGCCAAACTATGCCTCTGCTAAATCAGGTAATTGGAGATTAACTGCTGAAGTTTTTAAAAGGTGCTTGCCTAATGGTCGTGGGTCGTGGGTCGTGGGTCGTGGGTACAAAGTCGTGCGTTCCAATTTTTTTCCAAATTTATAATTTCTTTTAATTAAGTATAGTAATCAATTTAAATTCATAAATGATAGATTTGGAAAAAAAATTGGAACCCACGACTTGTACCCACGACCCACGACCATTAGGCAAACTCAAGTTTAAGACATATGGTATATGGGATCTAATGGGATTAAGAACGGAGAGCATAAAAGGTTTTGCAACCCACAACCGGATTACGTATGCCAAAATCCGAATCGTAATTGGGATTGGAGTTTGGAGTTCCAGATTCAGCTATTCGATGACTTTGATCGGTATGGCATAATGGCTCTGCCTTAAACGGCCTTCGACACTGTTGTTCGAAATTTTGCAGTTTTTATTAACATGTTTTCCGTTAGATTCTTATAGACTTAGATACTTGTAAACTTTCCCAACCAGGTAACCCGGTCTACCCTGCCACCAGGGCCTTGTTCTTTTCATATGATTAAACACTGTTATCGTACATGATATTATTATTTAATTTATTCTACTTGAACAAGGTTTTACCTTCTTTTAGCTAAAGGTTCCACGGAGAAGTTCATCTTCCAAGCAGCGAGATCATTTATTAGGATAGTCAATCAAGCAGATCGTCCTGTGAAGGTGCAAGAATTGTTTACTTTCTAACGTGTGAGGTATAGTCAGGGACTGATAAATTGGAAAAGGTGAGGGGATTGGGGGGGGGATTTGGTGCAAGAAAAATGTGAGAAGGAAGGGAGACACAGACCGAGAGAGAAAAAGAAAGAAAGAAAGAGAGAGAGAGGAAAAAAAAGAGAAATTATAGGAAAAGAGCGGAAAGGAAAGGGAGAACGATGATGAACAACAATAAAAGGAACAAGAATGAGGGATATGGAGGTAGAAGACAACAGGATGATGTTGGAGGACATTCTTCAGGTTATGAATCAGTGTCAATGACAAACTCATAATACTCAAGAAAATATTAGCAACTTCAAGCGAATTAATTAAAACGAGACGGGAAAGAGTAAATACAGGAGCACCTTTTAGTTTATATGAGGTGGCAAAATTGATTTGAGAGTTTGAAAACTGGCCTTTAAATAATTAATTTATCGATTCATATGAACTTTTCTCACAAGATTATATATTTGGATGGAAAAGAAGAGAAGTTGTTTGCTGTTCTTCAAGTAGATGGCGAGCAAAGTATCAACACGTTTACCAGTCATCGATGGCTGGCACGTGATTCCATCTCAGACAAAAAGCTGTTTATTGATGGGAAGAAACTATACATACCACGTGTGAACCTGGAGTACGACAGGAAAACTATTTATGTCACCATACCAAGTATGATCCGAAAATCGACAATACAAAAATAGGACTTCTGCATGAAGGCGTCATTTGACTCTCACTACCAAAACGATTCACTTTTTTTTTTTTTTTTTTTTTTTCCTCGCTATTCAAATTCGTATTTCCTTATGAGAATAGTAAAACAATTGATGCTAGTTAACTAGACAAAAGAAAGTGTGCAAGGGATTTTGGTAATAGTAGTAAAAGTTAATGACGCCATAATGCAATGGTACCTTTAACAACTTCCTGCGCCAGCTTAAAAGGTAGCCGTGTCTATGCATCGAAGCTACAATATAATGATAGACATGTAATAATTGTCCAAGGTGTTCAAGGTAGGTCTCTATCATTGCAAAGGCAGGGCTACCGTTCAAGATGGACTCTTCGAATCAATGTTCGATCTACAGCTGCAAATCTGCAATATGCATAATATTAGCCTAATTAGCTGTTTACACCCTTCAGTCCTAGCTTCGATGTTTTACTTTTTTATCCGGACAACGTTTTTTAAAATTTATTTTGGCTTATACAAATAAACTCTATCTAGTGCAGATTATTAGGGTAAAGTTTCTCATTTGACAAAGCTGTTCGTTTAAAGGTGGTAGGGTCACGTGAGAAAGAAAGAAAGAAAGAA